TGGACACGTGGCGTGTCTTAAGTGGTCCGTGGAGGACGCGTGGCGGAACCTGGTTGGTCCACTTGTCAAACGGCGCTTGGTGGATAAAAATCCCCTAATCAGTATGCAATTGTTCACAATCATTTTTATTTGTGTAGCCTATTCAATATAAGTAGTTTACTATGTATAAGACATTAAACAAATCTAATTTAATTAGGTAGACAAAAAAAACTAATTCAATTGTAAAAGATGGTATTACAATAATCTAAAGATGTATTAGCATTTATATTAATTTCTTTAAAGTATTTGCGTTTAAGTTAATTTCTTTGATATTATTTAAATATTTTGTTTGTTTATTGAATGATACATTCCTAAAACAGTGGTTAGAAAGTAACTTTTTTATGAGTCTACATTATTAGTGGCTTTTACAAAGTCTAATCATATTAATATATATAAAACGTATTTTTTTTTTTGGTGTGGATTATGTACATCTTGATTACGCGTTATGATTTTTATTTTGATTGTAAACGTATATGAATTATTTTTCAGGTTGTTCAATTTTTGTTTATATATGTAAAATCTTTTTTGTACCATATTTTGGCAGTAGATAAGTAAATTGGTAGGCTTTGAAGATTGGAATGTCTATGAAATTTTTGATATGTTACAAAAAAAAACTAAAAACAAAATAAATAAATTTAAAACAACAGTTAATACAATACTATACATAAAAAAAAAATGAATACTCTAATTTACAATACATAGCAAAAATTTGAGAATCACAAAATATTCCACATAAAAGAACAAATTTCTGTACAAAGTAAGGACATTCCGTTGTTAATTTTTTTTTAAAAAAAAGTACTAACAAACGAAAAAACAAAATAATGGCCTTCAAATTGTCTAATAATACCGTTATTACTTGTAAAGTATATGTAAAAGTGGCGTAGATGTAGGCCTGTATTATTCCAAAACAATATCCTAAAAAAATTCAATAGACCAAGCTCAGTAGTTTTTTTTTTTTTTGAAACAGAAAAAGCTCATTAGATGATCAGATGAGCTTATATATATATATATATATATATATATATATATATATATATATATATATATATATATATATATATAAACTAATTTGAAGTATTAGTTTATACACACACTTTAATTATTCATGTAAATTATGTTTAACCTTGATTGTTGGCCCTTTTTGAAATTGAATTATTCAATTTTTTTCTTTATTTATTTGAAAAGAAAAAATCAGCAAAGGGTTCCAATAGAGTTTTGTCTTTTGCCACCATTCTAGCCTAGGAAATGACACACTTGAAAGAGAAAATGTTGACATAAGATGTCAAATTGCAAACACGTGAACAAGAATCATGTTGTTAATATAGGAACAAAGATTAAATAACTAATAACTAATAAAATTATGCTCAACCTTCATTTGTACTTTATTTTATTTTCATATAATGTATCTTTTCCAACTCATTTTTATATTTAAGAATGAAAAGTACTCTTTTCAATTCAAAATTTTTCTTTCCATTCTCTCTTTTTATTTTTTTATTTTGTTATTTTATATTTCTTACCTATTACTTGACATTTTATTTTATTCCTAATATACAATACTCATTATACAATGCCCGAATCTATAGTTTAATTTGCAAATTGGTGAGATGAAAATTCATAGTTAATAAATTTGTAAGTATTTGTTTTGGTAGTATAGTACGTTTAACTTCTCTATAAAATCTATAGTTTCCTAGTTGAATTTTTCATATAATTTATCAATTTATTACTTCCCTTAGTTGAACTATAGAAAATTTGGAAACTTATTGTATACTAGTATACATATTTTATTTATAATATAGTTGTGGAATAAATTAAAATTTATATTTTAATTTACCGTGGGCTTTTCTTTCATAAACCTATCACTAAAATTGAAGAGATCTTCATTAATCAGGAAGTAAATGATTAAGCAAGTATTCGTTTCTATTCTCAGTAATGGTGCATCATGCATCATCAATTTTTTTTTTTTTTTTATTTTTATAGATTATAGCTATTTGTAGTTGTATTAATTTCTATTCTCACTAATCTCATTAGTCAAAGTACTTTTTGTAGTTGCATGCAGCAACTTTAATCTATCAAACTATAGTGATCTTTCTCTTTCCTGTTTTTCATTGTCCTATCAACTTAGGCACCTACTTTGTCCTTTAAAAAAACCCTTTTTTAAAAAAAAAAATTCTTTCGTTTGAAAAACCCACAAGCTTTCCAAAACCATTCAAACAACTATATTTATAAAATTACCATTTCTATATACAAATGCACAAAAAAAAAAAAAAAAAAAAGAAAGAAAGTACCCATATTCCAACATAGCAAAAGTTTAAGCCAAGATATATTTTATTGCAATTTCAGAAGGTTGTAGTAAAGCAAAGAAATGGAAGAGCAATATTGATGAAGAAGAATGTGTTAGATTTTAATAATTTTAATGCATCAATTCTTGAAAGATTTGATGCCAACTCAGATAATCTTTATTGTTGGTCACATTTTATTTAATATTTCAATTTTGTTTAAATACATGCAATATTATTTTTAATGCAAACCTAAAATTATAAGTATTTATATACTTTAGTATAGTTATTATAATTATGATCTAATGATTTACAATCATTAAGGTGTTAGTGTAAATTCAATTTTTAAAGAAGAATAATAAAACTTATTTTATTTTATATTGTAATAATTCCATATTGCTAGCCTTTGGTTATTTGTGGAACAATTCATCATTTTTTTTTGGAAATTCTATATGGTGGCCTCCAGGTTTCAGCTTTTCTACGTGGAAGACGAACTTTTTTCCAACTCTCTTCAGTGGCACCAAGGTTTAGAAAAATTAACCATAATGACCTTTTTTAGGTTTATGGCTAACCTTTATGGTTAAAATGGTTAACCTTTGATATTTTTATTAAAAAATTATTTTATAAACAATAAAATAAAATAAAAAAAACCCTAATCACCAACCCAGCCACCACTGCCGGCGGCCAACCCCCAGCCGGCGACGCCTCGCACCTCCTCTCTTTCCCATTTCCCCCACCGCTGCCCGCCCCACACCTCCTCTCTTTCCCATTTCCCCCACCGCCGCCCACCAGGCCCTAGTCGCACCCCAAACCACCACGAAAACCAGTGCCCTTCCCCGACAAACCCCCTCCTCTGTGAGCCGACCACAGAAACCCTAAAACCCACCCAAAACCACCAGAAAACCAAAACCCGTTTCCTGGTTTGGTTTCGAAACTCTAAACGGGATTGGGTATTTTCTGGTATTTTGGGGTGATTTAAGGGTTTTTGGGTCGGCGAACTAGGGAGGGGGGTCGACAAGGAGGTACGCCGATTTTCGGGGTGGTATGGGGTGGGGTTGAGGTCGGTAGTGGGGCGGTGAGGGAAATGGGGGGTGGTGGGGGTTCGAGATTGGGAGAAAGAGAGGAGGTGGAGGTGGGGGATCGAAGGCCGGCGCACCGGCGAAGGTGGAGCTGGGCGCTGGCATTGGTGGGGGTGGGGGAGAGGTGGCTGGTGGACGTTGGAGGGGAGGGGCTGCTGGGGCTTGGTTGGTGGTGGCTGAATTTTGGGTTTTTTTTTTTTAAAGGTTAACCATTTTAACCATAAAGGTTAGCCATAAACCTAAAAAAGGTCACTATAGTTAATTTTTCTAAACCTTGGTGCCACTGAAAAGAGTTGGAAAAAAGTTCGTCTTCCACGTAGAAAAGTTGAAGCCTGGAGGCCACCATCTAGAATTTCCTTTTTTTCACTTTTCTTGTAACTCTGCTTTCTCGTGTTGGTTGTCTTATAAATGTACTAATTTTTGCTATTTTTTCATCTGTTTTCCTCTTTTTTTTGCCACCATAAAATTCTCTTGGTTTAACTTTAATTTCAATGTCAACTATATCCTTTTTGCATTTTTACCTACAAAATTGTTAGGTGAAAGTGATTGGCATGTGCAAAGATGTTCAATGTTTTACTAATTTCAATTATACATGCGTCATTTTGCCTTATAATTTTATTTTATTTTACTTTTTGGGAACCTGTTGTCCTTTAATTATATTCTATATGTTTATTAACTTTCTATTGTCATGTGAATAAACATTAAGGGAAAGAGATGTAATCAATAGTCATTAAATTTCTATTTTAAAATAGATAACACAAATTACAATTAAAGATTATATCACTACTAAGAAACAATCAGCCAAATATTTAATATATATAACCATAATAATAGGTAACAGCTATCCAACCAAAAAAAAAAAATCCATAGGTATAATATTCAACAAAATTAATCATATTATCAACAGAAAAAAAATGTTTAAAAAAAACTTAACTTAAAGAACTTAATCTGCAAAAATTTCATTGAAATGATTTTTTGTGGTAATAACCTTCAATGCACAAAGATCCTATACAAATCATGTATAACATAGAAATTAAATAAAATATGTAAACGAAAATATAAGCTACTCATATTGGTATTAAAAAATATAATATAAACTATTCATATTGCTTAATCTAGGTCCACAATGATGAGTAACTTTAGGCGTCATTCGATTAATACTTGATTAGATGCATGCATGCCTATTGCCACTTAATTGATTATTTTATCTTATTAGTTTAAAAACTAATATTCATGCATTAAAAAGTTATAACTTCCTTCGATATGAACTTGAAAATAATGTTCCTAACGGCACGTTAATGCCACTATATCTATGACAAAAGCGTTTTTTTTTTTTTTTTTTTTTTTTACACTTGAGTTTTATCTAATATTTTCTTTTTCTAATCTCAATTTCCACATATTCGAATTTACAAGATAAAATGTTTATATATTTGTTACTAAAATAAGGTTTATCTTTTGTTTATATTTATAATAATCATAAGTATATCATTACAAATTTATTTATTTTAATATAGAAATCATATATTAAGGCTATCTAAAAATAGTAATTGCTAAATTCCTACATAAGTATGTGTATTAAATTCATACAATAAGCGTTTAATAATACCTTATTGTGTGAATCTAGCTGAGCTTTAGAACGAAGAGAAGTGCGAATGCTGTACAATTTGGTACTTAGATATATGTAGATGTTTTGTAGATGAAAGTGGAATGAGTTGTTATGCAGAAATTCCACATCTTTATAAGATCCAAAATATGAACAGTGCAATGGATAAACTCATAAAAGCAAAACAAAAATGCCAAAACATGCACAGCAATTTGATAACCATGTTATATATCAAAAGAGAAGAAATGCCAATAGATGTACAGTACTTTGATAACTATCAAGCAAAACAATTAAAATTTAAGTAATGTACACTTTACGGACCCAAAAAATATCAAACAAAATAAATATAGTTACATAACATAATTTACAACAATATTAGAAATAGGAATAGAAGTGTCTAACTAAATTGATAGTTGGTGCCTTATAAAAATAAACAGTAATAAGCATAATTATGTTAACAAATTGAAGCATTAGATTAAATTAATAGGCGGAGGCTTTTAAAAATAAACAATAATAGTCATAATTATGTTGACAAAGTAAAGAGACCGATTAAATTGATAGACATAGCCTTTTTAAAAATAAACAACCATACTCATACCTACGTTACTTAAATAATATAGTCATGTAAAATATTGTTATATTCGTCCCATCGAATATTTTATTGATATTTAATTTCTATAATTTTTAAGTGTTTGGAATTGGAAATGGAAATGGAATCATTTCATGATAGGTCTTAAACACCGCGATACACCAAATGGTACAAAAAATTAAAGACGGACAAACTGCTTTTCAAATGAATCTGCAATTTTTTAAAGGGTCGATTTATATAAATAAAAAAAAATAAAAAATAAAAAAAAAACCTACTTCCACAATAGCCATAACGTGTTAATACAATTGCATGCACAAGATAAGCTCTGACCCTTAAACGACAACAAATAAGGTAAAAACATAAATGAAGATAACCGTTAAAAAAATATAAAATAACTTTAAACCAAAAAAAAAAAAAAACAAAACAAAAAAATGTCATCACAATAGTCACGTATAAATCCAATTCAATTATTCTTAAATAAACCTGGTCCACAATAAATTTATTGTGGACCAAGTTTCTCACGTGCTTACTTCCCTTACTACCAAGCTTCTTACAAATTAATACAACAAATTATTTCCCTTTTCTTTCTTTTCGCAAAAACGCACCTCACTCTTTCTCTCTCTTCCAAGCTTCCTTTCTTCCATTTTCTCTCTCTTCAAAATCAGCTTTGCCATTTCTGTCAAATTGCTTGAATTCTTCTTCTATGGCGAGAACTCGAGGTGGTGGCACATTTCACCGAAGAAAAGGACTTCGTTCTTCAGCTACAAAAGTATATCAACCACTTTCTGGTATAATTTTTGTTTATCGTTTGATTTCTGCAATTTTGAGCTGATTAATTGTTTTTCTTTATTTGAAACTATTTGCATGAATTTTTGTTTGAATTTTGTTTCGTATTGAAGATTATTTAAAGATCTAGGTATTTGAAGATCTAGGGTTTTTCGATGTTCGATTGTTTTCTCTGTTTATTGTTCGATTGAACACATAAAACCACAATAAATGTTCGATTGAATTTTGTTTCAATTGTTTAGATGTTTGTTTTGTCGTTGAATTTAGATTGATTTTTGTTTTCTCATTGAATTTTGATTGATAATGTTTTGTACTCGATGATGATTTGTGCTCGATGATGTTTTCGCTGTTAATTCATTAGTTTTTCTGTCACTGTTGTTTAAATGAAGTTTACCGCATTTTCGAGCTTGGATACTTTGGTTACTAGCCTGCATTATGTAATATGTAATGGTTCTGTTTTTGAGGGTTGATTCCTATGATTCTCTGGTCTTAAATTTCTGGTCATTATTGTTTCACAAAAGGTCACTATAATTTACATTTTGATTTCTTTTCTATAATAATGGTGCCAAAGGCTTGAAGAAGAAAATTGGAGCTAACAAGAAAAAGAGTGTTGTTGTAGAGTTTCATGAAGATGTTCCTAAAGAGGTTCATGAGCATCAAGGTTCACCTTCATCTCGTCATAAGAGAACAAATGAAGATGAACCTGAACCTGACGCTGAAGCTGTTGCTCTTGTTTGTATTAAGAAGCCAAGGACAAGAACGAAGAAATCAATAGTTGAAGTTGGTGAAGCTGGTGGTGATGTACCTACATAAGTAACTTTATTTACTTTGGAGTGCTCTCAAAAAGTTAGATTCAACATGTATGTTGGTGTGACTATGCAAATTTGGGACTGGATTGTGGTTAAGTTGTGCTTCTTTTACCTTTAATTATTGCCACTAATTTGAACTTGTCAGACTGCATTGATTTTTTGATTTGTTAACTTGATGTTTATTTAATGTTGATAGCATTATTATTTCTATTTTGCAGATTGCGGCCATTTAAAACTAGATATAGGCCTTTGCATTTGGTTGACATGATGTCTAACTTTACTCTTGATCAAAACAATTCTTTAAATAAAATCGGTTTTGGAGAGTTGTTATCATTGAAGTTGAAAAGGAATCCTACTAGTATTTACAGGTGGCTAATTGATTCTTTTGACTGTGGTAGCTGCATGTTTTCAATCGATAATAATAAGGACTTTGTGGTGACTGAGTATGATGTGTATGACGTGTTTTGCCTTCCTTTAAGCCCCAAAAATGTTGAGGAGATACCTAGATCTGCTAATAAAATAATCCAGACTTTGTTTTCAAACATAATTGGAGATTGCATTATGGAAATGATCAAATTCCACTTAATTTGTTAGAAGCTAGGATACCTACTTTAGGTCAAGGTGGAGATGAGTTTAAGCAACTCTTTGTTATGCATGCAATATCTACGTTTTTAGCTCCTACTTCTAACAGAAACGCTGATCTTAGGATTGTCAAGGCACTTGATGATGTTGAACAAATTAAGAATTTGAATTGGTGTAAATATGTTCTTGAAAAACTGTGTGAAGGTGTTAAAAGTTACAAAAAAGGAGAAATTCAGCACTGTTGTGGTTGTATTTTGATGTTGGAGATTATTTACTTCCATAGGTTGAAATTTAGGAATGTTGAATTAAGTAATTCTTTACCCTTAATTTAACTTTGGAATGATGAGTTGATTAGGGATAGAATTAAGAAGGAAAAATTGTCCAAAAGTTATGGGTGTGGGATTTTACTCTCTGATGTGTATCCTGTTAGTGGTAAACTGAAGTTTCGGATGGACATGTTGTGGGTACTGCAGGGGGAAGTATGGGGAATGTTGGGGGCAGTGATAATGTTGTGAGGAATGTCGGGGACAGTGTTGATGTGCCTGATTCCCAGGGTACAATACAGTTCATTCTCCCACCATGTTTGATGTCAGATCAAGAGATCCATTCGGCTGCTATTGATGTAAGGAGTAGCTGACTTTTATTCTATGTTATTATTTTTATTATTGGATATGATTTAAATGTTTATACATGTTTTTTTTAATGTTTTTGCATCCCGTTCATGAGAAATTTTTGTTCATGAAAAAAGATATGCATGTGATCTCTTGTTTTTACAATGACAAGATAACAAAGATTCTTCTTTCACGTGGTGAGGCCAACAACTCTCCTGGTATTAATTTGTCCCAGAATGATTCGTTTTTTATAGATCCTCGAGTTCAATATGTGATTGACGAGATCTACGGACTTGCTATTGGGTGACAAAATTACCCGAGGTGTTGGATCAAATTTCTACATTTGACCACAACAAAACAAATGGAGGGAGGGAGGCAATTAGAGGCAATTTTCATGTGATTGGCTTTGAAAATATTCTTGCAAATGGAGGGTCCAAGTGTTTGTTTTCTTTGGATTGAAAATCTGATGAAAAGCTTATACTCATTTCACACTTTTTGAAGTCAAATAACAAGGAAATGAAGCTATTGGATCCATTAGTCCTAGAGATTGTTGACTATTACATTATCATTGATTCTTGTTTGGCTCCTAAGTAAGTAATATTTTGTTTGATTACATTGATTTTCTCTTATTTATTTATTTAAGAAACACCTTTTTAATTCTTATTTTATACTCTTTGACTCAGTGAACTGTTGTATTTTTTCATGAAAAGCATTTGATTCAAAGGTTAGAATTCTACACATTAGGAGAGCCTTCTGAAATCATGAGCAGTAATATTTTGGATTGCTGGGCATTGCTTCTCAATGAAAATCAGAAATATTCGAAGGATGGGCCTCGGAAATTGTACTTTGGTTCTTCAATTAGTGTGAGTTGTTTAATTATTTCAATGTTTATACATGTTTATACTTTTTACTTTTTTTGATTTGTTAAAATATTATGAAGGTTACAATAGTAGAAGTTGCCTCCAGTGATGGCAATTCACAACTAATGGACAATGTTTATCAAGGTTTGGAGGAGTGGATGAAAATAGCTTGCAAAGATTTTGATTTGTCATAAGTGGAGCTGGTAATACTTTCTGTTTTTTTATGCTTTGAAAAATATAGTTCCCTTTTTTTATGTTATAGATACCTTTTTTTAAAATGAGAGTGACTATTGAAAATTGCATAAGTATATTTTTAAAAGAGGTCACTATAATATCAAAAATGGAATTTATATGTGTTTTTTTTTATTCTGACTAATGGTGGTATTATTGTTGCAGATATTTTTATCTTGTCTTTGGGGCAATCACTATTGCTTATTTGTGGTGAATTTGACTAAAGGAAAAATTTAGTTTATTGATAATCTGAATTATGATGAGGATAATCGTATCTTTTTGAAAAAGTTGTCTAGTCTCCTAGTATTACTTTCTCACTCTTCCATATTTTCACAATTAAGTTTATTGTTTATTGTTTATTGTTTGTATTGACTTGTTTATAGTGAGCCACATATTCTAACTCTTTTCTTGTCCGGTGTTTCGGAGTTTATTTCGGGCATTTTTGTTTTTATTTGTTGCTAATCTTGTAGAATTTTACGGCTGTATATAATTTTGTTACACGTTGATGAGTCAATAGAACTTGTAACAAGAAACCAACTTTTTATAAATGTTTAAATCACTTTTTATCATCTTTTTAAGACCCTTTCTTTTTGCTATCTCATTGCTTCTGTGGCTGTTGTGATAGCAGGAGTATGGCT